TTTTAAAGTCTCCTTAGGTCCCTGAAAATGTTTAAGGGACAATTCATATATATAATGCAGGATGAAACCAGCATCCATTAATATGAGGACAAAACAGCTTTTGTTGTCTACCACTGTTTCAGGGGACTTTTAAAATGAGTAAACATTGTAGCAACACTTATGAAAGTCTAAAAAAAAGAAAATTTAATAATCTGCTTCCAAAACATGACATTTTAATTTGTTCATGTTCCCTTGTAATCCTTAGAAATATCCTACATAATTCTTAAAAGTTTAATTTAAGCAGAAATACAATAGTGTTGTTATGCATTATCATCACTTCACATTAAAGTCTTTAATAGTTATTTTTAAGAATTGCATGCAGTGTTCCTTTGAGAGAATACATACTGACCATGCTCCCCATTGTTGAATATTATGTTGCTTCCAAACATTTTCTGTGTAATAGGTATTGCTACTCTTGGAAAGAGGCAGTTATTACCTTATTATTTAGTATCAGGACCTACTGCACATGAACAGAAAAAGTAAAGAAGCAACGCAGAGGTTTATTTCTTTGTCATATGAAAGAAATCCAGAGATGTACAGCTCAGGGTAAGGTGTGGCTGTTCAGTGTTAGGGACCAGACTTCTACCTTGTTGCTTTAACAACTTCAATAAGTGGCTTGCTTTTTTTTTTTAATGTTCTTATTGATTTCAGAGAGAGGAAGGGAGAGGGAGAGATAGAAACATCAATGATGAGAGAGTCCTCCTACTGGGGATCGACCCCGCAACCCTGGCATGTGCCCTGACTGGAAATCGAACCTCGATCTCCTGGATCACAGGTCAATGCTTGACCACCGAGCCACGCCAGATGGGCAATAAGTGGCTTTCATCTCAGGTCCCAGACAGCTGCTCAAGCTCAAGCCAATCAAGTCTACATTCCAATCAGCAGGAAGCTGAAATAGGAAAGGCATGTCTCCTAGCCATATGGACACATCTTGAAAATAGCACAGGACATTTCCACTTATATTTGTTCCACTGGCCAGATTTGTCAAATAGCCACACCTAACCGTCATTTAGTCTTTATCCTGGGCAGCCATGTAGCCACCAAAAGTCAGGGGCAAATGGATACTAGATAACAACTAAATAAGCAGCCTCTTCCACATTCCTGGAGTCATATGAGGAGTGGGCAAATAGACTGTCCTTTGCCGTCATCCTGGGGTTGAGTTTCTACTTCTAGAATACATGCTTTAGAATACATGCAGTAGTGTCTAGAACAATAGCCCTCATTCAAACTTGACCCAAAATAACAGCATTATTTTGAAACTTTGATTTCAGTGAGAAAAGCTAAAGAAACTAATTTTAAAGCTACAAGAAGTTTTCAGTTTTTCAAAAGCTGGAGACTTTTACTTTGGGAAAAACAATGGAAGGTTATGCAAATATAAATCTAAAATCATTATCTGAAAATGGAGATTTTGGAGAAGCTGAGGCTAGATTGCTCTGTGAAATCACAGAAAAAGATGGCTTATTCTGCTGGCAGAGTTGCATCTCTACAGATAAATCTCTTTAGTGTGATAGTACACTACTGCTTGTTCTTATAGAGAATTCTGTTTGGACAGAAGAGTAGATCGATCACAAGAGTTCAATTGGAACCCTCAAACCTACAGGAAGGAAGACCTGAAAAAAGGAAACCAGGTGGGCAGATCATCCTGGGATGTAGCACCCATGCCTAAATATTGGTGTTAAGACTCAGTAATTCATTATTATGCTGACTGTTGGTTTTTGTTTTCTGATAGGATTCTCTTACGGGAGCAACTCCCTAGAAGGTAAGACTGGGTGGAGAGGAAAGGAGAGAGAGGAAGAGAATGATCCTTATGTTGGCTTTGGGCTCCGAGAAACAAATCAGGCCTGAACCTATGAGATGATTGAAGCTTGAGTCCTCTTATTTGGAAGTCCAGGAAGAAGAGTTAGGCCTTAAGCAGCCAAAATGATGAGCTAGTTGTATGTTTTGCTGTTGTAATCCTATTGTTCTTTTTTTAAATTTATTTTTTATTGTTCTTTTTTAGCCTGGTCTCACGGCACTGTGGGGTAATGGACAAACTTTGGGCTGGATGGTAAAGTTAGAAGCAGTGTGGTTATGTAGGAGCAGCCCAGAGCAGAGAGATCCAAGGGGGCTCTTCCTTCTTTTGGAATTATTTATATTGAATAAATTTACAGTGATGGAATTTATGAATGGATTAAAATGTATAAACATTTAAGACTCTAGAATGACAAGAAATCAGCCCTTCCATGAAGACAGCTTTACATGTAAGGGGTAGAGAAAGTCTCAACAGAATGATAGATGCTTAATGGTTTGCTGGAGAAACATGGAGATTCCTTTCAAACAGATGTTTTGAAATTTACTAGCTTGTGATTTCTAGGTCTACTTTCTTTGTTCCTGCTTAATATCGAGATCTCATCTCTCATATTTGATTATCACAAAGGGGGTTTTAGATTGTAGTCTTATTTTAAAAATAAAAGTAAAAAAGCCTGTGAATTGTTTGTGCTAGGAAAGGGGTGTCCCCAGACTTAAGTTAGTATTTTACCTTTCTTCCTGCATGGCCATTCTCACAGTCAAACTCTTAATTCTGAATCCCTGATACCCATAATTCCATAAAATCTGGGTGGGATCTAGAGAGCATGTGCCCTGGGCTCTGAGGACATGAGCATTTACTCCTTGATTGATTTTCTTGTCTTCCCCCTAAATTGCCCTCCATTGCTGGGGAAAGAAACTTTCAGTTTATTGCCTCAGGCAGGGATATAATCATAGTGTTATAGCATAGTGAGAAGCTAGGAAAATTCTAGGACAAGTGTAATGGGGAAACTGAGATAGTTAAACAGCAATTTGCAGCCACCTAGTAAATCCTATCTTCCCTAAACCAAGGACACTGAAGAGTAAAGGGTTTGCTCATCTCCTCCCCAGCCAGAAGGTAAATAGCTTAAGTCGCCCTACTCCAGGAGACAGTAACAGAAATCCAATTAGTGCCATTTGCTAACCACACCCAAGGACAGACAAATTTAAGAGAATAAACCTCATTTTGTTATATCAGCATAGAGCTAATGAATATTCTATTGATAGACTCCTAAGACCTCCTTTAAAAGCCCAACTTTAAAACCCCTGAAAATGAAGGTCCCAGTGCACACTCTCCCCCCCCCAGGGGGCATGCCAGCGCCATCTCCAGCCCTCTGAGGGGACCCCACAAGACTTGCAACCAGGGGAGCAATGGACAGTGGCAGCTTGTCCAAGGCTTACCCCCTGAACCTGTCTCCAAGGTCCCCTTCTTTCTCTGACTTTTCAGTGAGCCAAAGCTGCCCAGCCTACGCTCTCCTGTTACTTCTATGCATCTCCCTTATTTCACTGTCCTAAGTATATTTTTGCTCTGGCCAATAAATTCTTGTTGCTTTCTACAGTTTCTCTCTTGATTGAAATCTTTCCCTCAAGGAGACAAGAGCAGAGGTCTCCTCACCATCTCCCCTAGTAACAATAGTATGTATTTTATCTGTCTAGCCTCTGTTTTACCCCTCCCCACCTCTTACATGTCTCCACTGTATGACTCCCATTAAAATTGTGTCATTTTTTTTGTCCCCAAATTAGATTAACTTGCTATCAACCCTTACAGTCCACGGGTCAGGAAAATAGCTCCCTTTTTGTACAGTTCATTTTTCCTTCTTTTTTTCTTTTTTAATCTTTTCCCCCCTAATTTCTGTTCATTTCATTTCATTTTATTTTTATTATTTTAAATCCTCACCCCAGGATATTTTTTCCATTGCTTTTGAGAGAGAGTGGAAGGGAGATAGAGAGAAACATCAATCTGAGAGACACATCAATTGGTTGCCTCCAGCAAGACCTTGGCGGGGATGGAAACTGCAACCGAGGTACGTGCCCTTGGCCAGAATCAAAACCGGGACCCTTCAGTCTGCAGGCCGACGTTCTAACCACTGAGCAAACCGGGTAGGGCCATTTTATTTTTTTAAAAATGTATCTTTATTGATTTCAAAGAGGGAGAGGGAGAGAGATAGAAACATCAATGATGGTAAGAGCCATTGAACAGCTGCCTCCTGCACAACCCCTACTGAGGATGTGCCTTGGCCAGGAATCGAACTGCGATCTCCTGGATCATAGATCAATGCTCAACCACTGAGCCACACCAGCCGGGCTGTTTGGTTCATTTTAAACTAAGAATATGTTTATAGTCCCTCTTTTGTATAATTTGGAATTGGTAAACAAGTGGTCACCCAATATTGTAGTTTTCCCTTAATATATCTTCGGACACTGCTATCTTAAAACATCTAAGGACAAATCTGGAAAACTCCTATGCTTGCCAGATGGTCATCTATGGGAAGATGAGGCTTACATAAAACAGGCAAAATCTGCCCTGGCTGGTGTGGCTCAGTTGGTTGGCATGTGGTCTCCAAAAGGTCACGGGTGTGATTCTTGGTCAGGGCACATACAAAGTCACTATAAATCCACAACAAGGGCCTCAAGAGGGGACCTCTCAGGCACTTCTATGAACTGAAAAAAATCCTGGTCTCTAAAGATCCAGGTTGAAAAGAGATTAAAAAGAGTATATTTGAACAATTACTCTGTAGAATTATTAGGAAATAAAAGACTCCCAGGGGAAAACATTGCCAGTCAATGTTCAGTCAGTTCAGCACTTAGAAATTATCTCTGGTATGTGAGTAAGACTTGAAATTGCTTTTGAAATCTCTCCAAGACTGTCTTTCTCACTCAGACTTCATGTCATCATCCAGTGAGTTGCAAAAACCCCAATTTTCCTTTAAGGCAGTTTTTTAAGGCTAAAATGGTAGGCACTTTCCAAGATCACACTCTATCTTGCCACTTTAGATACTTGGGTGGCAGTAACCCTTTCCTCATGCAATACTCATAAGAGAACTAAAGTTTTATAGGGAAATATATCCATCTCAGGAAACTTGGAAAGACTATGAGAGTTAAAATATTGCCTTATGAAGGAGACAAAGCAAGCTTGGTTCACAAATTAAACTTTACAAAGAAAAAAAATGTAACAGGGCACCTCTATTGCACAATAAGTAGAGCTAGTTTACAGTCACCTCTTTGTTGTCCACTCCCATCTCAATGACTTCATTGTACACATTAAGCTCAACCTCCTGCCAAATGGACCTACTCTTTATAGCGTAGGACAATGATGGAAAATAAAATTTGGAGTAGAAATAAACAGCAGATAATAATCCATAATTGTTTTTAATCTTGAGGATGAGTCACCCTCAATTTATTTCCACATTTCTCTGTCATCAGCTGTTCATTTCTTTACTTTGAAAACCACCAGATTAACACTGCCAAAGGCAGGTAGGAAATGATCCAAGGGGACAATTCAGAGGTATCACATGGTGGTGGATGAAAAACTGGGAACTAGACAATCCTCAGGAAAGTCTCTTTTTTTGTCCTAGCAAAGGCACCAATGTGTGAACCTAATTTACACTTTCATTATTCCAATCAGGTTATTTTTATATCAGTATAATTTTAGAATAAGACATGGTGGGGGATTATTTATTTCCTGGGACATTCTGTCCATCATTTTGCAGATAAGATATTCAAGTAGGTCTAACTTCAAAATTAATTTCAAATGAAGAAATATTCTTACCTCTCCTTTTTAATACTTTCATATACCTTGTTTATTCCTTAAATCTTCCTCTGGTACAAGGAATTTCAATCTGAATGGCCAGACATTCTAACATCACAATCATAAGAAATGTGATCTATGATGTATATGAGCTGTTAAAACCTGGGTGACTCTCCTCTGTCCCCCAATTTATCACGGTCTTTAGATCTCCTATAAAGTGTAAGATTGCTATTTTATCTATATTTGACTTGTCCTCCTTAAGCTGATTGGGTTCTTAAACCCATTTAGCCTCTAACTCCTGCTTGGGGTTAGAAATGGGAGATTGGAGTCCAGATGTTCTCCCTAGGAAGTAGGTCTGAACCACAGTACAATTATTGCAGAAAGGCTAAAGATAGAGGTTTCAGACTGTCACTAACATCATTCTTTGTTTATTTTTGGTTTTGTTCTTTCCTAACATCTTCTTAAAAACATAAAGTTACAAACTCAGATTAGTAGCCATTTACCTATGTCAGAAGACCATTCTCCAACTTAAAGTTATTTTTTACACTGGCCTCAGATTATGCCTAAGTAGGCAGCAAAGTAGAAAAGCTAAAATGTCACCCAAATAATTCAAGACAAATAAATATTGTTTTCATTTGAAATCTCCAGATAATTGAAACAAAAAAAGGGTTCTGGCTAGATGCCATTTTCCCCTTTGCTCTGATGTTATAGGCACAATCATAAATGTCCACAACCAGTAAGTTTTCAAATAAATGATGCTCAACCTGGAGCTCAATGCATAGTAGGGAAGTGTTGTCCTGGTTTTGGTTTGGTTAATAGAATTGCAAATGAATCAAGATATTCTGGCATAGCCCAACTCTTCTAAAAAATACACAGATTAAATGTAAATTTGTGATGAGTGTCCACACTCAGTCATGCTAAATGATGGAACTGTGTAGGGGTTGTTGAGGGGGAAAGTTTGTTACAGCTCCTCTTGGAAAGTTTCCCTCTTCCTCCCCACCTTTCCTGTTAGCTAAAATGAGTGAGCATCAGCTCCTGACGGATCCGGTCAGCCTCTAGGTCCAGGGACTCCATATGCTCATACTCTTCCTCGGGGGGCTGTTCCATGGGTCCTGTCATTGGAGAGGACCAAACATCCATCCCATGCTCCAGGGAGATATTGTGGAGGACACAACAAGCCAAAATGATGTGGCTGGACTTCTCTGGCGAGTACTGCAGTGCCCCCTTGGACCCATCCAGGCAGCGGAATCGGGAGCAGAGGGTTCGGAAGGTCTTCTCGATCACACTGTGAGTTGCAGAGTGGGCCATATTATATCTATACTCAGCTGGAGTTTCATGGTTGTGAAGTGGGGTCATGAGCCAGGTATGGAGAAGGAAGGAACTGTCACCTGTGGGGAAGGCATAAAGAAATCATAAATCATCATAGTTGGAATACAAACAAAATCCAGGAACATATACAGAGAATGGACAAGAAAATGCAACAGCTTCTGGAGCCTAAGCACACCAGAAAAACCAAGAGGGAAATGCTCTAGTAAAGAGAAGGCATGCCAGAGTCACTAGCAGGTAGACATGAGTCTTAGCTGGGAACATCCTTGGTTAAAACCAACAGCAAAAAAGGCTGATAACTAAAGAAAGCCAAGTCTGAAAAAATGTAAGAAGGAGGTGAAGGCATTGGAGGAAATAAAATTCCTGGATTTTCTGGTAATAAAAGGTCAGTAAAAACTATCACATAGCAAACCAATCTTCAAAATCTCTAAAGAGCTAACGCGCAAGAGAAAAAGATAATTCTGCCATGAGATCTCAAAACACTTGTGAAAAAAATTTCTAACTTTACCACTAAAATGTCAGGTCTGAATGTACTACCTAGGGATTTCAGAGGATTTCATAATAGTGCATTCTCCTAATGCTAAGAAGAATAAAACAAAAGCCCCAGAATCTGTGGTGGAGACCAGAACTTAGGTGTCCTGCCTTCCTAGATACTACATTCACCAGAACAACACCTTTATAACAGAGGAACTGGTAGAATTTCACATTAACAAGGAGAGCATAGATATAATGATGCAAATAGTAATAGTGATAAAGAAACAAAGTCAGAAGTCAATTAAAATAATATGCATGAGGCATTTCCCTTAGGTATCCTATCAAATGATCTTGGGAAGTGCTAAAAATAAAACAAAAATTGGTATACAATGTCCTAACACAATAGTACAATGTTTCTATAATGTTGAATTGTCCTGACTCATTACATCTGGCAGATGAAATGTCTCACACAGAAGCAAAACCTTTTAAAAACCTGAGACAAACAGGCCCTAGGTATACCAGCTTGCATAACTGCTTTTCTGACTCACTATCAGTAAATAGTTATGAAGAGTGCCAGGCACTGTTCCAAAACATATAGTACACCTTTCTTTTAAGAGCTTATGTTTCTAAGAACTGAATTAACTTTATTTTTAAAAATACTTTTTGTGCCCTGGCCGGGTACCTCTGCTGGTTAGAGCATCATCTGGATAGGCCAAGGTTGCAGGTTCAATGGTCAGGGCACATACAAGAATCGACCAATGAATGCATGAATAAGTGGAACAACAAATCAATGCTTCCCTCTCTCTCTCTCTCAAATCAATAAATATTCTTTTAAAACATAATTTTTTGTAATTCAAAAGTTTTACTGAGATATAATTGACATACACTGTATTAGTTTTAGGTGTATTAGATTAGATTTAAGTATAAATAAGAAGTCCTACAAGACTTTCAAATTTTATATTTGGCTGGCTTTTTTCCTATTTGTTCTAAGTATAACCTATTTTAATTAAACTCACCCCTACTAAATACTGAACTTAAGAAACTGATATAAATAATAATGAAAATAATACCTGACTCATTGAATACCTATTATGTAGAAGGCACTCTGCTGGGTAATTTTGAAAATATTATCTCTTGTTATCCAATCCCAACTCTGCCAGGTTAGACAGTATTGAATTCATTTTACAAATGAGAAGATCAAAATATAGGTCAGCCATCCTTTGATATGTCAGGCAAAGGAAGGGGAAGAAGCTAGTAACTAACGCTAACGTTGGACTCAGAGTCACTAAAACAATAATGTAATGCTGTAAAAGAGAATAAGATAAACATTTAAGATAAGCCAAAGCACAGAGATACTAAATGATATTTGTGAAATGTTTCTGTAAGAAACAGTATAAGCCTTAAATGGGGAGACATACAGAACAAACTAGTTAATGTAGACTTTCTATAAAATGTTGCATGGTCATTAACTGGTTATAATCCAAGTACCACTGGAAGACAGACAGTCAGGAGGGGATTAGGATCAGAGTTGCTAAACAGATTATAATTGCTTACATGATCCGTCATCCACAAAATATTCTGGCAGATCTTTCTTACAAAGCTGCTTAATAGGACTATGCCAAAAGCTGAAGAAATAAGAACTCGGGCTGATTTGTTTGCAGGAACATGTTCATTTAGAAAAGGGGAATTAGGTAATGCTCCCTGAAGGGACAGATGAGAATAAGGACATGAAGGGATCATACCTACAGTGAAGATGTGCTAAACAAAACAAAACTCAGAAAACAAAGGAGAATCACAGTTTATTCTGGATTTGGAAAATCTATAACTATTTCACAAAACTGATGGTGTTAAGATACAATCAGCCTTCTTAGTCTCAAGTGTTCCCTGGAATAGCCCTGCGCAGACTGAACCATTTTCAGCCCTTTCCCTGTCTATTTCTCTTCCTGTTTTGATGGTTTTGTGTGGAAGGAAATACAAATAAAGTGAAGTTATGGCCTTTCATGCTTTTTAAAAAAAAGATACAATCAGCCAGCCATCTTCTCTAACTTTTTTTCTCTTTTAAAAAAAAATATTTTTATTGATTTTTAGAGACAGAGGGAGAGAAAGAGAGAGGAACATTAATGTGAGAGCAAAACATTGACTGGTTGCCTCCCACACAGGCCCTGACCAGGGCCAGGAATTGAACCTGCAACCCAGATATGTTCCCTTGACTGGGAATTCAACCCTCCACCCTTCTGTGTGCGGGCAGATGCTCTAACTACTGAGCAATGCCCACCAGGGCTCTACCTTTTTTTTTTAAACATCTTGTCAATCCTCAAAATCGTGCCTATCTTCCCCTATATTACCCTACTGTCCACACATCCTGCAGAGACCAGTGTTTTCCAAGCTTACCCGTTTGTACAAATCATTTTTGGGCACCTGTTAAAAATGGATGTCTAGATTCTTTCCTCCAAGATTCTTATTCCTAAAGTTTAAAGTGGGGCCCAGTGATGTATATTTAATTAATTTATTAATTTATTTATGTATTTATTTTTAAATCCTCACCCAAGGATATCTTTTCCACTGCTTTTCAGAGTAGAAGGGAGAGAGAGACACACTGATTGGTTGCCTCCCACACTCACCTTGACCAGGGCTGGGGATCAAACCTGCAACCGAGGTAAATGCCCTTGACCGGAATCAAACCCGAGACCCTCCAGTCCTCAGGCCAACTCTCTAACCACTGAGCTACACCAGCTAGGGCTTTTTTATTGATTTGAGAGAGAAAGCGGGGGAGAGGGATAGAGAGAGAGAAATATCAGTGATGAGAGTCATTGATCGGCTGCCTCCTACACTCCCCTTACTGTAGATGAAGCCTGCAACCCAGGCATGTGCCCAGGCATGTGCCCTGACCTGAATCAAAGAGTGACCTCCTGGTTCATAGGCCAATGCTCAACCACTGAGCCATGCTGGCTGGGTGTGTTTGTACTTTTTTTTTTAAATCCTCACCGAAGGATATTTTTTCCACCGCTTTTTCACAGAGACAGAAAGAAAGATAGAAACATGATGTGAGAGAGATACATCTATTGGTTGCCTCTGCACACACCCCAAAAGGGGGCTGGAGCCTGCAATTGAGATACATGCCCTTGGGCGGAATAGAACCTGAGACCCTTCAGTCTGTGGGCCCATGCTCTAACCACTGAGAAAACTGGCCAGAGCTTAAATGGTGATTTTTTAAAAAAATCCTCACCTGAGGAAATTTTCATTGATATTTATTTTTTCATTGATTTTTAGAAAGAGGGTAAGGGAGAGTGAGAGAGAAAAATATTGATGTGAGAGAGAAGCACTGATCAGTTGCCTCCAGGATGAGACTGGACAAGACTAGGGATCAAGCCCACAACCTAGGCATGTGCCCTGACCAGGAAGCAAACCTGGGACCTTTCAGTGTACAGAACGACATTCCTACCAACTGAGCCACACCAGCCAGGGATAAATGGTGATTTAAAAAAACTAAGGCTCAAAAAGTTTTTAGCTGAGGTCTCAAGAAAAGGACAGGACTGAGACTCAAGTCTATAGACTCCCATATTTCATTTACTCTGCTACATAATTCTATGGCTACAAAATGAAGAATTTCTACCTGCAAACTTACCAAGCAGCCAGCTATCTTTGTGCATTCCAGCTTCAAACTGACTACTGAGAGAAGACTGCCGCAGCACAGCATAGTTCTGTAGGCTGCCTGGCCAGTTTGTCTCCACAGTCATTAGTGCTCCTCTGATGTCACACACCATCAGGCAGTTTAAAGAATGCAGACCTTTGCGGTTCACATAGGAGAGGTCTTCAGCATTTGGTGCCTTGATTGCCACATGGATACAGTCAACCACTCCTATTACCCCTGGCATCCCAGCCAACCCATAGAATTCATCCTTCAGAGCCTGAATGGAGGCTTCATCAGCAGGAAAGCGAATGAACTGTGAGGCTCTTTCCACAAGTGCTTCGGTGACATTGGCAACACATCGACTCATAGATGCCTGACTGATTCCAATAGCATCTCCCATCCGAGTCTGGAAGGATCCTGACGTATAGAAGCCCAATGCTGCAAGGATCTGTGTCTCTGGGCTAATAGCCCTGGATCTCTGAGTTGGTCTAGAAAGATTTGCTCCCAAGAGCTCCACCAAGTAATAAATGAACTGTCGAGGAAAACCATATATAGACATCAAGTAGTCATCAGTCACATCATCCAGCTTAAAACGGTCCAATGTCCGGTGACCTCGGCCATACAGTAAGAGATCACAGTCAAGCACTGTTATTGGTATAGCCATGGTACATGTAAATGTTGACTCTCTTTCCCTGCTACTTTTCCTGAATTCTTCCCAGTGAAGACGTAGGTCAAAGGTATTTAAAGAAGCTTCAGAATTCAACAGCTAACCATCAGTTAAATGGCTCTGGCATTTATAATCTTCTCTCTGTAAAGGTTAAAAGAAAAAAAAACATTAGAAATCTATCAGAGACTTTAAAGTGACCTAAAGGTTACGATAACTCCTCAAATTTCCATTTTGTTCAAGCAAAAGGTGCTATACTTGTAACTCTGGATTTTTCTCCACTAACTCATATCTGCACGACAGTCTTTGTTTTGGTTTCACGGATAATGGGAGTTGTAATTCGGTGGCTCATTTTCTGCCTGACATTTGAACTGGGAGGAGCAAAAGATTAATGGAGGTGATGGCATAATAATCTACAAGGTAAAAGAGGTCTGCTCTTAACTATACAGGCGAGGAAGCAGCTGACACAAGTCCTAACTACCCAGGGCAGAGATTAGTCACTAATGGCGGGTTTCTTTACCCAAAGCCTTCTGGATCCACCGGAGAAGTACGGGACCGAAGGGGGGGTGGGGGTGCTCAAACCAGTCTAACAGGGGAGAAGGGGGGAGAAAACCACCCATGACTCAGGCAGATGGACGTCGATCGTGTGCTAACAATCGTGAGGCTGAGAGCTAGGAAGTAGAGCGGCCCAAACAAGTTAGAAGGAAGGTGCCAAAGGCGCCGAGAGCGCTAGGGCTGGGAGGCGACTCCGCCGCTTCTGAGAGGCGCCTTAAATACGGAGTATTCCGTAAAGCTGACTGCTCCGGCCGCTCCGAGTCAGCCAGAAGCCCGTCACCCACCTCTCAGCGGTGACCGAGTTACAGCCTCAGTCGCGCCCGCCCCGCCTGA